TTTTTTTTTTTTTTTTTTTTTTGAGCATCAGTCATTAGGTGAGGTTGGGGAAGAGAGTATTGGCATGGTGTGGGTGTTTTACAACTTGCTAATCTCTACGGGAGACACGTAGCTTGAAACATAGCTTCTCCCGTTAGTCAGCTCATGTCAGGTGACCAAACTCTGCTTAGGAACGATGAACCCCCTGACTTTATGTTCCTCCAGATGTCAAGCCCATCAAGGAAGTGCTCTTGCCCAAATGCTTAACTTGAATGTACTCAAACCCTCAGACTTAACTTCCATGTTTGTTGCTATGGGGGTGGGAGATACATAGGTAACAAAACATGCTATTTCAACAACCTTCATGTGGACAATGACATTAGGTATGTTTCTTCTGGTCAACCATCTGGTAGCACAGTGCCTAAGGCATTTGACAGCTAAACAGAAGGTTGGCAGTTCAAACCCATCAGCCACTCGGTGGAAGGAAGATGGGGCAATCTACTTCCATACAGATTTACAGCCTTGGAAACCCAATGGGGTTGCTATGAGTCAGAATCGACTCAATGGCAGTGGTTCAACCATCACCCCTCAACTGTCCCTGAATGTTCCCATCCTTAATTTCCATTTTCTGGGCAAAACAGGGACAGTGGAACAAGCTGAACACCATAAGCAGACGATCAGAAAATCCAGAATGTGTAACGTTGGGTAGGTAATTGGTCTGAGCTTGCAAATAAATGAATATATAAGTATCAACATCAGGGAACAAAGTGTGCCTGTGCCTCTCTTATAGAGGTTAAAGAGACATGACAATCAAATACAATGTTTCACTCTTAATCGACTCCTATTTGGGATTAAAAACAAGATATCCTTGGGTCACTTGGGAAATTTTTGAGTAGGGGCTGTATCAACTTTCTTAGGGCCGAAAATGATTTTTGGTTTTGTAGGATGCTCTTTTTTAGAAGCTGCGTGCAGAAACATTTAGGGACAAAGGGCTGGTACAATTTTTTCCCACATCATCTGGGGGGAGGGAGGCACACGGAGTTAACACAAATGAAGCAAATGTGTCAGAATATTTTTTAAAGTTTTTTTTTGTGTGTGTGTGTGTGTGCTCTTATTGCATGTTTCTTGAAACAAGAAATTAGTAATTAAAATGTAACACTTTCTGAATGATTATTAAACAGGCAACTGAATCCATCCTAAAGCTTAAAAAACGCCACACTTACTTCATTATCAATCTTACAGGCCCCAAACAACACGAGTTTCTAGCGAAAACGTGGTTCTACAACCTAGTCCCAAATCTGGGCAGTTTCCAGCGGTAAACCAGACCCCTTAGAGTCAGTTCGGATTCATGGCAAGCCCCATGCGTCAGGGGAGGACAGGGCTCTCTAGGGTTTTCAATGGCCAATTTTCTTTTTGTCCAAAACAGATCAAGGGATCAGTTTTCTGAGGTGCCTTGGCTGGATTTGAACAGCCAACCTTTAGGTTAACAGCCAGCGTGTTAAGGGGGTTGCTCCACCAAGGACTGTCCTGTTCCTTGTACTGGGTGTTAACCCCGCCCAAACTTCTCTTCAATCTGGGCCTTTGTTCATGTATCACCTCTTTCTAGCGGCCTTACATTATCATTTTCCTAAAACGGTCCCGGTCTCACTTCCTGTCCCCTTTCTTATTCTGTTCTATTTTTTTAAATTGTGCCAGTCACGATCTGAATTTATTATTCATTTAAATATCGAATGCCTCCTCTAGTAGAATGGAAGTTCCATGAGGGAGAAGACTTTGTTTCAGTCACAGGCTGTTATCCCCAGCGCCCCAAATAGTCCCTTGCACGAACTAGGCACTGAATAAAAGAGCTACAGACCGAATACATTAAACAACTTAATCTCCATTCATGTAGGGACTCTTTGCCATGCGGCGGAGGGATACAGTACACTACAATAGCGCATGCGCGCAAATCCGGGAAGTGTGTTAAGGGGCGAAGTAGCGAGTGAGGCGTCTAGCAGACAGAGGCGGTTAGAGCGGAGAGGGAGAGGTAGAAGAGGTGGTGGCGGTGAGGGCCGCGTGCGCAGTACAGACGTCAGGACGCAGCTGCAAAGGAATTTGAGGTACGGGAAGGCGGGGCAATAACCTCGCGCATGCGCCTTATCCACGGCGGGACCCTGCCGCTATGTGTGGCCTCTTCGCGGGGCGCGCGGAGCGTGCGCAGGACAGCTGGCGGAGGGATCTGAAGCTGGATCCCACCTTCTACCCCGTCGCGAGCTGAGGCCGCGCGGGTTTGTGAGCAGCGGCCTGGTGCGCGCGCTGGGCCGGCGAAAGAGGCAGACGGACGCATACGCCGCCGGAGTCGAAACCAGAGCAGGAATCTCTGCTGCTGAGGGGCCGCCGCGAGCCCCTGGAGCGACCCCAGGCCGAGGAGGGCGCCGCGCGGCGCGTAAGTGTGACTGGCCTTACCGGGAAAGGGACCGCTACCCATAAGCCCCTGCGGCGGGCCTCGGCCTCTCTCCCGCGGCCTCGCCTCCTTCCCGCGTCCCCACCACAGACAGCACTTTATTTACTGCATCTCTTAACTCGGATGGTTTGAGCACTGGGCCCTCTTCCCACAGGCCCTTGCGGTCCGTTGCCTTTTTACTTCATCTCTTCGCGGTATCTTGGACCCTTACCCACAATTCTTTTCGCCATTTTTTTTGTGGGGGGGGTTTGTCCGGAACTATTACCCACAAACCTTTGCTTTGAGGGGTTTGCTACTCTCTGATCCCTTCATCTGAGGCTTCCGACCCCCTGCGACCCTCTCCCCTTAACGCGTTCTCCAAGGTACATGGGAACGCCAGCCGCCACTACTAGGGGACTCAGGCTGTATGACTGTCCCCTCAGACCCCCAGGGAACCTTTCAGCCCCACAGCTGGACTCCAACTTCTGTACCCAGAAACCCTTCTCTGTTTCCGTTCCAGGCCTCTCGGCACCCCGATCCCCAGAACCTGCTTGCCCTTTCAGATTCACCCGCCCAAAGGTCGCTCGCCTTTATGGAGCCCGTTTTAACACTAAGACGTCGCTCCTGTTAACCCTTTTTGTTCTAGAGAATCAAGGGATTGTAGGGACGACAATCCCTCAGCCAACCCACTCTTAACTGGTTCTGGTTCTGTCCTCAGACTTGGCAAGATGACTCAGTTCCTGCCGCCCAATCTTCTGGCCCTGTTTGCCCCCCGGGACCCCATCCCATACCTGCCACCCCTGGAGAAACTGCCACATGAGAAGCATCACAATCAACCTTATTGTGGCATTGCGCCCTACATCCGAGAGTTTGAGGTGAGTGTGTTCAGCAGATGAGGGGTGGGTTGTGTTTGGGGGGCCCGATGGGCTGGGTTTTAGAATCCAGTCTCTGACCATTTTCTTGCTGTGTGATTTAGGCGGGTGACTTATTCTTTCTGATCCTCAGTTTTCTTGTCTTAACTGGGATTGATAATATATTTGCTGTTAAGTTTATTCTAAAGGAACCTTGGTGGTGCAGTGGTGAAGTGCTCGGCTGTTAACTGAAAGGTTGGTGGTTCAAACCCACGCTGCGATCTTGTGGGGAAAGACCTGGTAGTCCTAAAGATGACAGCCTAGGAAACCCTGTGGGGCAGTTTTCTGTCACACAGGGTCACCTAACGACAACAGAAGAAAACCAAACTGACTGCCATCGCATCAGTTCCAACTTTCCATCTTGCATCAACCCCCATTGGGTTTCCAAGGTGATAAATCTTTATGGAAGTAGATTGCCCAATTTTCCTTTCATGGAACAGCTAACGGATTTGAACCACCAACCTTCTGATTAGTAGTCAAATGGCTTAGGCATCGCGCCACCAGAGCACTTTGTGTAAGAGGGTTATTCTAAAAATTTAGCAAGTAGTAGTTGAGAATTCAGGTTCTGGAGTCAGGGAGAAGTTGGCATTCACCGTATGTCAGCTCTGTGACTTTTGGCAAGTGGGATATCTTCTTAATGCCTTGATCTCTGCGTCGTTAGTAAGATAGTATCTTCCTTGTGAGATTTAAACTTCAAAATTCATGTCCAAGCTTGGCACCCCTTGGTCATTAAATGTCCGTGTTTTTTGAAGTCTTCATTGTGATTTGTGTGACAGTTTACAGAGCTGATTGGTTTTCCGTCAGCTCGTACACATTTGGTTTTGTGACACTGATCGCAACCCCCACCATGTAATAGCATTCTTCCGGCTTCCTTGCTTTGTTTCCCATTTCCATCCATGCATCTTTTCTCTCCGTGTGTGGTGCTGTATCTACAGTCTGTAATGTAGGCTGGCTGACATTCACACAGGGTTTGCACGGTGTACTGGACGGCTTCAGGCCGGGGGCTCGGGAGTGGAAGTGCTGCATCTGCGGGGTAACTGAGCACGTGGGAGCGTGTGCCCTAAGTCCCAGACCTCAGGTTTTTCATGTGTAAAATCGGGATAACAGTACGCCCCCTCGCGGTGCATCAGTGCTCACTTGAGAAATGCCAACAGAGCCGGAAGTCCTAGAGGAAAGTCCTAGCATCAGACAGTTGGGCAGGGGATTCTCCCCGACGTGGGGAAGAAGTGGGAGTCACAGAGCAGAGGTTAGTAGCAAGACGACAGTAGAAGACTGAGGCTTTGGTAGCATTTGCCACCTTCACCGAATGGTACTTTGGAAATGTTATTAGCCAGTTAAACTAATTGAATGGTTGTGAGCCCTTGGCACCCTTTGGTGATGCGAGTCTTGTACCTGTTCCTATTTAATGAGCAGTTAGTGAGGCCTGACCCTCAAATGGTCCCAGTTGGCTTCTTCTGAGCACTGCCTGGTCTGCTGTTTTGTCTGGGGCCTAGCCCCAATTCTCAGCTCTCCTGAGGAAGAGCCCCCCCAGTAGCTCACAGGGTGTTCTTTGGTCCTCTGTTAACTACAGAGTGATGTTGGGGGGCTGTGAGAAGCAGGGTGTTCCTTAAAAGGGAAGGTGAGAGTCTTTGACAGTCTTCTCAGTTAAATGTTGTCTATGCCAGTGCTTCTTAGGCTATGCTCTGTGGTAAAGAGCAAGTTTTGTTGTTTTTAATTTCTAACCTATTACAGATTGGTAATTTTGGTAAATAGAATAGTTATTGGCACCCTCATCTAGTAACTTGTCTTTAAAGAAGGACATCATTCATGCAAAATACAAAATCTCATCTATGTTATTAGGTTCGACAGGCATGAAAGTGCCCTGTCAGGGACCACGTTTGCTGGTCTGATGGTCTAATAGAGCCTGGTGGAACCACTGAGACTATGGCCCCTAGCTGCCCTTCAGGTCTGGAATTGAATCCACACCTGTGGCTTCCAGCCAAACAAAAGATAGACTTAGGAGTTGAACATTTACCTGAGGTAGATACACTCCTTGGAGAGATCAATCATTGGAGAAAGAGGGGCTGCTTATGCACCGGGGGACAGCTCAGGGGGCAAGGGTGCATGGAGGGATGGACACAGGGAAGAGGTGACTATCAGGAGGAAGTGGGAGGGGAGCTGTTGTATTGGGGTAAATTGCGGTTAATTTCATGAGACAAAGTATATGTGAACTGCTGTATGGAAAGTGAATTTGCTCTGTAAATTTTCATTCAAATCATAATTTAAAAAAAGTGCCTTGTCAGATTGTCATAGAAGTTCCTTTTTCTTTTCTTTGCCTTCCCTTTCACCCAAGTTAATATGTGTCTCCTTTCTAGTTAGAGGTTTACTCTCCCTTCCCAGCCCACCCCTGGTAACCGTCAAAGAATATTCTTTTTCTGTGAAACCCTGTATTTGACTTTTTACCATAGTGGTTGATCTTGTAGAGTATTTGTCCTTTTGTGATTGATTAAGTTCACTCAGCACAAGGGTATCTAGGTTCATCCAGGTTATGTGATGTTTCCAGGTTCATTGCTATTCTTTAACATTACATAGTAATCCTTTGTGTGCATCATGGTTTGTTGATCTGTTCCTCCTGACTAGCATTTAAGTTGTTTCCATCTTCTTGCTATTGTGAGTAGTGCTACAGTGAGCGTGGGTCTGCATTATCTGTTCACATCACACCTCTTCTTTCTCTAGGATACATACCTAATAGGAGCTCTGGTGGTATAGTGCCTAAGGCTATGACTGGTAATCAGAAGGTCAGCAGCTCAAACACACCAACCATTCTGTGGAAGGAAGACTGAACAAACCATTTCTGTAAAGATTTACTGCCTCGGAAACCCAAAGGGGGTCGCTGTGAGTCGGATTTGACTCAATGGCAGTGAGTTTGTTTTGTTTTTTTCTTGGTTTTAGTAGTAGGAGTTCTGGTGGTGCAGTGCCTAAGGCGTTTGACTGCTAACCAGAAAGTTGGCTGCTCCATGGAAGGAAGGTGGGGCGATCTACTTCTGTTAAGATTTATAGCCTTGGAAACACAGGGGGTTGCTGTGAGTTTTTCAGTGGGGTTGCTGGATCCTATGTTATTTCTGTCTTCAGCTTTTTAAGGAACTATCATACCATTTTCCACAGTGGTTGCACCATTTTACAGTCCTACCAACAATGTATGAGGGTTCCAAGCTCTTCACACCCTTGCATTTCTTGTTTTTTTTTTTTTTTTTTTTTGCTATTAGTGTTGGGTTGAAATGGTATCTCACTGTTGTTTCGATTTCCATCTCTTTAATGGCTAGGGATCTTGAGCATTTCGTCATACGTTTGTTTGTTTTTCAGCTGCCTAAGTGTCTTACTTGTGAAGTGTCAGTTCATGTCCTCTGCCTACTTTTGAATTGGATTGTCTTTTTGTTGTTAAGTTGTTGAAGTTTTCTATAAATTTTAGAGATTAGCCCTTTATTTGGTATGCCATTGCCAAAAACTTTTTCCTTGCCTGTAGGTTCTCTTTTTACTCTTCTGTTAAAATGTTTTGACGAATGTAAGTGTCTGAATCTTAGGGGGTCTTCGGTATCTATTTTTCTTCTGGTATTTGTGTATTTTTGGTTATGTTTGGTAGTCTATTTTATGCCATGGATTAAGGCCAACTTTGTCCCTGTTTTTTCTTTGATGGTTTTTATGATTTTAGGTTTTACGTTCAGGTCTTTGATCCACCTTGAGTTCATTTTTGTATATAGTGTTAGATACGGGTTATTCAGTTCTGCCAGTGCCATTTATTAAAGAGACTGGCTCCCCTCATTTAGTGAGTTTTGGCCCTTTGTCAAAAATCAGCTGTCCCTAGGTGGATGGATTTACTTCTGGGTTCTCAGTTCTGTTCCTTTGGTGTGTGTGTCTGTAATTGTACCGGTACTAGGCTGTTGTAATTAATGTGGCTGTGTTTTGAGATTGGGAGTTTGAGGACTTCTGCTTCATTGTTCTTCTTTGGTAGTACTTTCCTTATCTGGGGTCTCTTTCCTTTCCATAAAAGCTTAAAAAAAAAAAAAAAACATTGCTGTCGAGTCGTATCTGACTCATGACGACCCCTACTTGGGTTTCCAAGGGAGTATCTCTATGGAGGTAGATTGCCCAACCTCCTTCCAGGGAGTGGCTGGTGGGTTTGAACTGCCAGCCTTCTGGTTAGCAGTCAAATGCCTTAGGCGCTGTGCCACCAGAGCTCCCCATAAAAGCTTAGTGTGGTTAGTTTTAAAGAAAGATAGTGGGATCTGGATCGGAATTGTGTTCAGGAGCTATAGATGGAGGGCCCTGGTGGCGCAGTGGATAAGGCACTTGGTTGCTAACCATAAACTTAGTGGTTCAGACCCACCAGCCATTCCGTGGAAGGAAGATGGGTGATCTAGTTCTGTAGAGATTTACAGCTTCGGAAACACAGTGGGTGTTGTTATGAGTCCGAATCGTCTTGATGGCAGTGAGTTCGGTTGTTTTTTGGTTTAGATGTTTCTTAATCTCTTTGCCTGATGTTTGTCCTTCTCTGGTCACTGACAGTGACCCTATGGCCAATATTTGGACCTCTGCCACTGTCTGCCTCCACTGTGGCACGTGAACTCTTCACACTTATTTGCATAGGTGGGAAGGAGCTGAGGGGTCCTTGTTTTCTTGGGTGTCCCTTGTCATTTTCCCCAGTCCCTCCCACCTTGTCACCTCTCTTCTTGTTCCCAGGACCCTCGAGATGCCCCTCCTCCAACTCGTGCAGAGACCCGGGAGGAACGCATGGAGAGGAAGGTATGCGATTGTTGCTCCTGACCCCACCTCCTTTTTGAACCACATTCTCTGTGCAGTCCCTGAGTGAGGACAGTCATGTCTATATTTCACTTCTCCATCGTCCTCTTTCTCCTGACAGAGACGAGAAAAGATTGAACGGCGACAGCAGGAGGTGGAGACGGAGCTAAAAATGTGTAAGTCTTATTCCTCCTTTCCTCTCTTCTCCTGACATCTTGTATTCCTTTTCTCTAAGGCACATCCTGGCCCCTCCTCTCAGAAAGACCTGTTGGGGGAAGCCTGGTTGGTAGTTCACTGGTTGAGCTCTTACCATCGGCCAAGTGCTGGGTTTGCCTTATTCCTTGAAGTGAGAGGACGTGGGGGAAGGGTTGTTAGGAAGGGTCCCTGGGCCTGGCCAGGCAGGAGCACACTTGGTGGGGTAACACGCCTGCCCACCTGCATCTCAAGGGCTGCGGACGGCGGTGACATGCTGCTTGTGAATGCGTCTCGGCTCTGCCCCTGCTCCCTTTCCCTCGTGCTGGGGATGGGCCGGCCCTCCTGGGTGAGGGAGGAAGTGGCGGCATAGACGGTACATGGTGACCAGTTAGCCACCTCGCAGGAGGATTCGCTGCCAACCCCAGGGAGCCTTTCTCAGAGCAGGGCTTGGTTGGCACAAGAGCCGGACTCTACCACCTCGCCCTGCGGGGCTGTTCTCTGGAGTAGCGGGTTTCCTCAGGGAAGACACCTGCAGGAACGTCCAGCCGGGAGCTGACTCCCTGCACAGCTGCCCTCACATCCTTTCTCCATGTTGTCCCTGGGACGTGGCCTCACCACTCATCTCACTGTGTGAGCTGTGGCCTCAGTATTGCAACCCAGTTTGGTTTTAACACCTTTTTTATCCTTTCTCCCAACTTGTTACCCAACCTCGTCCTGCTACTTTGTCAATGTCACCTCTCCATGTCCACTGCTGTGCAGGTTGTCCGTGCTGGACAACACAGCAGCAGTCTGACTGGTTTACCCACATAGTCTGCCCCAGCCCTGTGTCTGCGTCTGTGTGGGTCTTTCTCAGGTGTTCTCATTGTTGGCTCCTGTGCTAGCAGTTTCCTTCTGCTCTCAGCGTGAAGACCAAATCCTTTCCCTGCCCACTTTTCCAGCTTCTAGCGGCAGGCCACCTGCATTCCTTGGCTCACGGCCCCTTCCTC